GCGCGCTTCTAGAGGGATTTGCCGCCGGAGGGAACCGCCGCGCAGGCGCCCCGGCCGGGAAAAGTCGCGCCCGGCGCCCCCGGCCGCGTGGCGCGCCGCGCGGTGGCGGCGCCTGGGGGTCACGCCGCAGCGCCCCGGTTGCCCGGCGCCGGCCCGGCGGCTATATCCGCCAGCGTCCCCGGCGCCGCCGCCGCGCGCGCGCCGCCACGCCTCCAACGAGCGAGTCCCGAGAATGAGCGAAACCCGCTGGTGGTTCATCCGCCACGCGCCGGTCGACAGCGGCGGCGTGATCTACGGCCAGGACGACCTGCCGGCCGACTGCGCCGACCCCACGCTGTTCGACAGCCAGGCCCGGCGCCTGCCGCGCGACGCCGTGTGGATGGTCACGCCGCTGCAGCGCACACGCCAGACCGCCGATGCGCTGCGCCAGCGGCTGTCCCATCCGGTGCCCGACTACCTGGTCGAGCCCGACTTCGCCGAGCAGCATTTCGGCGCCTGGCAGGGCCGCACCCACGCCGAGCTGCGCGCCGAACGCCATCCGGAGTGGCATCGCTTCTGGCTGGCCCCGGCGACCGAGCGGCCGCCCCAGGGCGAAAGCTTCGCCGACCTGACCGCGCGGGTCGCGCGCGGCCTGCGCCACCACAGCGAACAGCAGCAAGGCCGCGACGTGGTCTGCGTCGCCCACGGCGGCACCATCCGCGCCATCCTCTCGATCGCCCTGGACATCGAGCCGGAGCGCGCCCTGGCCTTCTCGGTCGAGAACTGCTCGCTGACCCGCGTCGACTGGTTCGCCGGCTCGGCCGGCAGCCACCTGCCGGGCGACGCGGGAAGCTGGCGGGTGGTCACGGTCAACCTGCCGCCACGCTGAGTCGCGCCGCCCCGGGCTGCCGCCGCCCCGGACTGCCGCCGCCCCGGGCGGCCGGTCGCATTTTTCGCACGGCCCCGAAGCGGCTCTGCAGCGGGTCTGCGGCCGGTCTGCGGCCGGTCTGCCGCGCGCCGGCCACACTTCCGCCGGACTCGGGCGGATAGGTTAGCGCAGGTTTCTTGTGTACGGCGGACTCGCCGAAGCGAGTCCCTACGCTCGCAAATCACTCTAGACTGTCGGCCTGTTCGACTCGGCCCCGCCGAACTTCTGGAGGAGGAAAGCTCCATGTCCACGCCCCGCCCCGCTTCCCGTCACCGCTCGCGCCGCCGCTTCCTCGGCCTGGCCACCGCCGCCGCCCTGGTCGGCACCCTGGCCGCCGGCCTGCTGCCGTCGCCGGCCGCCGCGCAGGACTCCGGCCAGGACGGCGCGGCCCAGGACGCCCAGGAGCTGGTGGACAAGGCGGCGCTGACCGCCGAGTCGCTGCTGCGCAACCCCGATTTCAGCGACCTCGCCTCCTACATGCGCCGCGCCAAGGCGGTGCTGGTGTTCCCGCAGATCCTGAAGGCCGGCTTCATCCTTGGCGCCGAGGGCGGGCGCGGCGTGCTGCTGGTGCGCGGCGCCGACGGGAGCTGGAGCCCGCCGGCCTTCTACACCCTGGCCGCCGGCTCGATCGGCCTGCAGATCGGCGGTCAGGTCAGCGAGCTGGTGATGACCGTGATGAACGACGGCGCGCTGGCCGCGATGATGAAGAACAAGGTGCAGCTCGGCGGCGAGGTCTCGGTCGCCGTCGGCCCGCTCGGCAAGGGCGCCGAGGCGGCCACCACCACCAACCTGAACAGCGATGTCGTCGCCTTTTCCAAGACCGTCGGCCTGTTCGGCGGCGGCGCGCTGGAGGGCGCCGGACTGATCCCCGAGCACGACTGGAACCGCAGCTACTACAACGCCCCGCAGGCAACGCCGGAGTCGATCGTGCTGGAGCGCCAGTACTACAACGTCGGCGCCGACCGCCTGCGCCGGGCGCTGCCGCAGCCGCGCGGCGAGGGCGCCTCCTGATCCCGCGGCCCGGGCGGAGGCCGCCAGCGGTCCCCGTCCGGCGGCTCGCCGTCAACCCGCCACCAGGTTGAGCCGCAGCACCAGCAGCGCCGCCACCAGGCCCAGGTGCAGCAGGCAGGCCAGACCGGTGAGCCAGAGTGCGCGCTCCAGCTCGCCGGCGCCGTCCCGGCCGGC